TTTTTATGGATGAATGTACAGCAGATGCAGAGAGATGGCATATTAATTGGCATTTCAAAATTGGTACCTCTTACTTGAGCTGTAATAATGTTTTAAATTATGTAAAATCTGTAAGAACTTGGGGGGAGGGATCAGAAGCAGGAACTGTGATCTCGTTCTGTTTGTTTGTTGCCTGGCATTACATTAATCCAATCCCGATTGATGCCTCTCAGTGATTTTACAATTTAACCACAAAACAGTAACAGAGGAATTGGCTCTAAGCTCTTATTCCTTGTGGGCGGAAATACCGATTTGCATTGATGACATGCTAGGATCTGGCCAGGGGAAAAAAAAAGAAAAGAAAAAAATCGCGTCTTTTCCATCCTCAAATGCAAAGCAAGCCCATTTCTGAACGATCAGAGATACCATATTCTTTCAAATCCTAGCCTGGAGAGAAAGTCCTTCTGACCAGCCATAATAGGTTTGTTTTGCTGCATCTCTAAGTGCAGTCCAGGACTGCCGGTACAGCAGATCGATAAAAACCATCTGTCTCAGTCTACCGTGCTCATCCCTGCTCAGAGCCCAGAGGTACAGAGCAAACAGCGTGGCCCGCAGAGAGCCAGCCAGCTTCCGACGCAGCCTAGTCAAGCCCATCGTACCTCTGCATTGCCAGCACTCTGCAACCCGCTGCCGTACCTCCTGCCTGAAGGGTCCCCAGACCTAACAGGAGACCTGATCCCCAGCGGCTTACTGCCAGCCTCTACCCAGACATGCACTTGGAGCTGTCTTTCTGCAATCTTTTCATGGAATCTCAGTGATCAATTTAAAATTATTACCACCATTGCAGAGATCTTGATCTTCCCACAGGAACTTCTCTCATTTTTTCTGTCGCAGCGAGGATGGTGGTGTTCCTCGCCTTTCAGTATCCTGGCTGCCATACTTGACTCGGCTTCCTTCCTACGATGATTCATCTGAGACATGTCTAAATCTTGCCACCAGTTTACATAACCAGTTTTAAAATCTGACTTTTCCAAGTTAAGAGAACTTTCATCCAAGCTCTTAATTGAGTGCACAAATACTACTTGATTGTTCAGGTGGTAGTAGATCTGTCGCAGCTAAGCACCTCTCTGGATAGAGTGACCTCTCATGGATACTGCTGGTACTCTGTCAACAAGGGAAATTTTTTCTCAGCTAGGTGTGGGAGTAAAAGAATAGCAGTATTAATAAGAAACTAGTAACAAAATTCACGTTAGGCCCAGATAATTTCTACTGCTATAACATAATGAACCACCACAGCATCTCATGTAACAGTTAAAGATTATTATGTGACATTCATTAATATAAAAAGTAAATGATACTTCAAACATAGCACACGTGTAATTAAACTGCATTGTAGATTTGATGTTCACAATCACCAGGCTAATCAGGATGCTAAGCTTAAGAAGCAAGGGAGGATTCGTTACGAAATACACACTTACGCACAAAATCCTTCATTTCATACTTTACAGAATAAATTAGTATTTTATTGCAAAGTAGACCATTTTAGGTCTCCCGGTTCTCTGTTCTGGGACTCTCCTGCAGGTGTGACGACTGGGAAGCACAGGCTCTCCCGCTCGGCTGCGCCATGCTCCGGGTGCATGCTGCATATGCTGCATTATGACACACTGCAGATGTGACCACGTGGGCTTGCTGAAGCGACTCCGCTGCCTCGGCTACACAGAGTGACTCAGATGTCAGGTGACGGCACACGCAACCCATCTAGATTTCCTTCGATAGCGTTAGCACGTTGTAAGACATCTCAGCCCTGCCAGGCTGTTGTTAGAATGCAGAGCAACAAAGGGTACAAGCTGAATTAGAAGCAAAACCTCTAACTCTTATGCTTTTTGCATTTAATTGCTGTATGTTCTAATGTATTTCTCTTTATTCTCACTACTTGCCCCGTGGATGGCAGCATTTTCAGTACTGCATTGTGGGTTTGTTTTATGCCTTACCTTATTTGCACTTTAATCTTGTTTAAAATCCTTTGAAACAAAAAACAATAACCCACCAGAACCAGAATATTCATTGAATTGCTGTCACAAGGCTAGAGAAAAATGCTTGACAACAGGGGATAGATTACATTCAGCAGTAAGGAAGGAAATAGCCTCAGCTAGGCCCTGCACACCCCTAGCCGTGGGGACAATTCAAATCCCGATGCTAGTCTCTGCTGCACTGAGAACACAGTGCTTTCTTACCCGAGTTCTGTTCTGCTTGACCTCAAAACATACCTTCTTGATACCAGGCCACAGAAAAGCAAGCTGAATCCTTCTTCCACTTCTGCTGGCCGAGACCTCCCGTTCCTCCGTTCCTCCTGTTGTCAGGATGCGGCTCTATTGTTCAGTCCACAGGTAGAGCTGTAGTGTCAGAGAGCCAAATTCTGCCTTTTCCAGTAATTTAATTCTTAACATTATATCAGCCATTTAGCACAGCCTGATTTTCTGAGTTTTTTTTTTTAATGAAAAGGACTAATGTTTGTTCCAACTCATTGCAATTTAAGTTTCTGTATTTATTCAGCCACCTGTGATGAGTCAAGGTAGAAAAAACCAAAATATCCACAAAAAAGGCATAACTGTATCATACCTCCAAGTTATTTATTACAAAAGTATATTCTTAAAGACCCTCCACATTTAAAGTGCATTCTCTGTGAACTCAATCATAAAAAAGAGAACACAGTGAAGTGAAAAACTGTCTAAAACAGTATTTCACAGGAACAGAGATTAATCATACATTTCTTTTACTTCACCATTAATCTTCCTCATACAGAGTACAGCCCTACAATAGAACATATTCTCTATGCAGAACAGATGGAGTAACAGATTACTTGCATCAATCTAAAAGAATAACCTCCCACCCAACACATGCTTAATTCCTATGGCTAATGAGTTTTGGGTTTTTTTCCCCTCATTGTACTTAATTTGTCAGGATATGGAAAGGACCCTTCAAGTGAAGCTCTCTGACACCTTCTCAGCTTAGAATGCAGTATGAGGCTCACACCAAGCGGAAAAAAGGCAGGCAGACTGACCTGACTAGAGGATGATTTATCTTTTTCGTGACAATGATAGCAACGTGGCTGAAAAGTGGTTGGCTTTAATTAAATTTCTTTGAAAATGTTAAGGTTCAACTTCTGTATTACTTTTGCAATGTATCTCCAGAGGAAACATACATAAGTTAAATATGGGTTATCTTACAAAACCTACTAACAAAGGAAACTGCAATACAGTGTTAAACTGTAAACAAATCCCCATCCTTCAGTGTGGTCACCAGAAGGAATGTAATGTTTCATCTATCGAGGGATCTAGCCACCGTCAGTGGTGCTATTCAGAAAGTACTACAGCCACCTTGCCAATAGTTAACACCAGTGGCAGTGACAACCTGCTCCAGCTTCAGTCCCGTTTCCCCCATCCATACTCAGTCTTTCTTCCTCTGGTATTTTCCAGCAGTCCCTTCACATAATCCAAGAGAAATCCCCCCATCCTTTCTCCCTTCTGAGACTGGCACACCAACCCGACTTGTCTGACCTGGCTCTGTCCGAGGCGGCTCCTCCTGACCCACCAATTCTCTCTGCACGAAACCGCACCCTTATGGTCCAAAGGGGGAAACAGGCAAGGCTTACTAGAACTCACTCCTGTTCCTCAGCAACTTGAAATCAGTTCCTAAGCAGAAAGGATTTTTATTCAAGTAGTTTTCAGGAACAACTTGCAGTAAGAGGCAAGACAAAACAACAAAAACAATTCTGAAGGCATGTTCAACCAACACACTACAGGATTACGTGCAACAGGTAGTCAAGATCAATCTGTTAAATTACTCATCGTAATAGCTTAATTGAAGTGACAAAAATGGTAAGGCATCAACATTTTTATGTACTTTAGTCAACTAAGAAGAATGTTTCATACTCTGTTCTAATGTCAGACCTCAGCTTTTTACACTGTATTAAATTTTACATTTACAAGACTAGTGATGTTATCCTACATTTTACTAATAATTAGACTGGAACAATGTAATATTACAGGAGTAAAAACCCATGTGCATGAATATTCAATTGTTCAATAACCCAAAACTTCAGAAACAAGAAAAACCCAGAAAACACAGTATACTCCATAAAAAGAATTAAGACACTGTATTGGTCACTTGTTCAGGAAACTGTGGCTTGGAAATACATTAGTTTGCAGTTTATCTGCTTTCCATCTAAAATTGTATTTCAGTGTATTTTAATAATCACAAAAAATTAAAATCCTTACATTGCGGTGATTTTAAAACTTCTAATGCCTATTAGGGCTTCTTGGAGCTATGCCTTTTAGATGGTTCCCTAGATGGCATCCAACTTAAAGAAAATTCTGAAAAGATGCTACTCTTTGAAATGCTGACAAGGTCAAGGAAATAGTGAGCGTTGGAATCACCTTAGCTGCATTAAATGTATGTCATCACAGAAGTGCAATGGTGGCTGTACCTTAAGAGAGGTATGTTTAAAAAAAATTGATGTAAAAAACCCTAGTGAAATTAAACTGGGCAGGACAAGCAGTCCTCAGTAAATTATTAAGTTCAATTATGGCCTGATTTACTGAGGACTTAAGCACTTGAGCAAAGCGTAGGTAGAAAGTTGGAGAACTAAGATAACTTAAAATAACGTTATTTTCCTGCAACTAGTACGTGGATATTTACCTCAACCGGATAAGACGTTCCGGTAACTCGTTCAATTGCCCTCGCCTATGCTTATGCTTACTTCCATTGATTCTGCTGGATTTTTTTCTCACAAAAAATATCCCTGTCAAAATATTTTACAGAACATTGATTAATTCCTTCCCCTCTTTATTCTTTGGCACTTAATTTGGGGCGTAGGGTGAAAGGGAGGGCAGGTGGGAAGTGAAGGGAAAAGGAAGGTAAAGAAAAGTGGAAAGAGAGAAAACAACTATTTCAGTACGAACTTTCACACACAAAAAAACGGAATTACATTTGAAGGCATTCTTTTCAGTACACAGGAGAGATGACATTTTAAAATAACTTTATTTTTGATCCTCTTTCAAAATTATGCTTTAACATCATCAGAAATGAAATAAGAAACTTAACCAGCATATTTAGTTTTAAAAGCATTTAATGACATAGCATATATTTAACAGATAGGGTAAAAGTCTAGAGGTATAGTTCGATACAACTGAAAGCCAGTTCCAGTACTACTCTTGACTACAGGCCCAGTCATTGAAAGTTCATTCCTATTAAATGTAATTTTTGATTGTGCAGTAAGATGAAAATTTTTCATTACAATAGTTACAGTGACAGAGAAATGCACACTATGTATCAAATAGCAAGGTAATGCAGCAAAATTATAACACACAGTGCCGCAGCTGACAAGCAAGTAACCATTTGAGTAACATTACTTTTCCAGTAAATGCTTCAGTTCCACTTTTACACTTATCAATGATTTTAAAGGGTTTATTATACATCTAGTCTTATTATACTTTGTACTAGAATTATCTGAAACATACAATATAATGTATTTCAGCAAAAAAAAAAAAAATTTGAAATTACAGATTATTTAAAACTGTATCAGCCTGCTAATCCATCTTGTACACCAACATTCTTATCTGTCGTACTTGATGCAGAAAAGCTTCAGGTTGTGTTAATAACCAATGCCAGGATATAAATGGTTTGTCTGTAAGTTAATGCATACCTGCACTCTGTTACAGCAAGATAATACACTATCTTTTTAATAAATGTTAGAATTGTAATGGGAGGCTCTACTAGTCAAGACTCAGCATAACAACCTCAAATGGAAGTGAACATTTTTGAAAATTTGTACATTGGTTTTTGATGTGCACAGTAGATTCGAAAGCACCGCTGCCTTGCATACCAATAGCACTAGGAGTGGGTTATTTTCCAAGACAGCCTCACAAAATTGAGGAACAGTTTAAATATTAAGATCTAATCTACATTAACTTCATTTAAAAAAAAAAAAACAAAAACAAACCCCCAAAACCTGGTCCTCTCCCTCCTACAGAAGCTGCCCAATGCACCTCATACATTTGTAACTTTAGATTCTTTTTGTTGGCTTTTTATTTTAAAACGCTCTATAAATAAAAAAATGTCAATCACATTGAGGAACATGAGGCACAGAGAGAAACGTATTGGTTCTGAGCTCGCATGCTGGAATTCCACTGGAACGGTCAGAGAAGTGCAGTGTGTGGAGATGGAGTTCACTTCTTTTTACCAAAAAGGCTGAATCTTTTCTCTTTGTCTTTCTCTTTGTCTTTCTCCCGCTTCCCAGGGCTGGACTCGCTCGTTATTGTGACGCTGGCAGGCAGGGTCTGGGCACGGCTGGAGGCTGGAGTGCTCTGGGTGGTCGGGGACACTTCGATTTTATCAGAAGAGATAGCTGATGTGATGGCCTGAATCCACGTGTTCATCTCCTCCTTCAAGAAGCCCCAAAGGCAGAAAGCTGTTACAATCCGTCTGTCACACGCCCTCTCTAATTCACTCAACATTGTGGAAGGGGAATGGATAGAAGTGGGAAATGAAAGGAAACACAGCCCTAACTCATCATCTGGCACTCTTCTGGTTACGCACCTGCAGAAGACGTCTACTGGAAGCTGCACCTGAAAAGCCCTGCTGCCCTGGTGGTGCCAGCGGGAGCTTCTGAATCTACACGTTACATGCACATATGCACAAGACTGCAGACCAGGAAATTAAAACGCACCCCTGAGCTTTCAGCAGCTATTTTTTTCCTGTTGTACAACAGCACAGATATCACATCAGTAATAAACAGTAAGAAAAACAAACTTACATCGTCTTTGGCTTGGAAGAGGTATTCGTTGCCATCAGTCAATCTGTAAAGAAAACAACCATCACAAATTTAGCTTAGTAGTAGTCACACTGCTTCCACTCCTGCTTGCTTAGCTACAGTACATAATCAGACTGAGACATATGGGACTGCACGGGACAGTCACAACATCTATATGTGCACAAATACACCCCAACAACGCATGTTTTGGTATCTTGTACTGTCACGCAGAGGCAGCCACACACACTGTATATTCTGGTCTCTAGACAAGCTTGGGATAGTGGATGTGTTCCAGTACGTCAGGACGCACTGCACAGCTTGCCATCTTCAGCAGCTGGTGATTGCTGTTTTAGTTCTTCCTCTCTCAGGCAGATCTCTTCTCTTTTGCAAAAGACAGTATAAAAGTTTACTCAATACTTTAAAAAGACAAAAGTCACAGGCAACACCCAGAGTTTTCACGGCTTTTGTAGAAACCTAGCAAAGTTCTGCAGCTGCTCTGCTGTCAGAACTATTGTGGTGGTGACTCAAGATACTATACTGTGTATTATTTATGAGTAGCTGCCTCTTCTCACACTGAAGGCCAGAGTCTCCCTTCTGTTTTATTTCTGTGCTGAATTTACTCAGATGGTTTAACTGGAATACATTTAACAATGTATGTGAAGATATATATTAACTAAAAAAAAGACTGAGTAACATCAGATCAGGCATCTGAACAAGCAGGAGGCAGGGTCAGTGGGAGCTGTGTTGCAGGCTTCCTGATCTTTCCCCACAAAAAGAAAGCATTTTAAAATCTCTTTATGAAATGAAGTATTAAACAGCAAAATAATGGCAAAGACAGACAGGGACTATGAAGAATATAATTATGCCTTGCTTTCTTCTTTAAGAAAAATATTTCTAGTGTACTCTCCATAGATCACAACTAGACCTTTCTGTGAGAGATCTGCCTGCACGTGAGATCTGTAGAGACCTCAGCCGCTCAGATGTTCAACAACATACCCCTCCTCAGCCTGGAGAGAGAGATTTGACATGACAAGCTGGCGAACCCTCTGGGGACCGTCCTAATGAGAATGAGTAAAGAAAACACGCTACATGCAATCACCCGAGAGCCCTGATGCAGGTGACAGGATACTGTGAAAAGAAGGGCAATTGATTTTTCTGCCTAACTTTGTATTTGGAACAGCATATCCTTACATTATCAATTCAGAGACGTTTAAAATAGTATAAAGGATGAATCACATAGCTGCAGGCCTGTCTTCACGAAAGGTAAACTTCCCTAAATATTTGCTATATATTTCCCTATATATTTGCTATAAAGCAAATTTCCTTGGATATGGATTCTATCATCTTTAGAGGATTCTTCTATCAATATAAAATTAAAAAAAAAAAAAAAAAATCTTATCTTGGAATGCATGAACTTTATGATCAGCTCATAAAGTGAGTCTCCTTTGACAGAATCACCTAGCAGCTGTGTAATAATAAAATATTTTTTCACTATTGGCACTAAAAGATTGATCAGTAAAACAGAAACACAATTTCGGAAGGAAAAGCCTTATTTTTTTTTAACCTTTGAAGAGCAAGTACTTCACATATTTCAAAATGAAATGGTCTGTAACTACATGTTCTAGACCTGAAAATGTGATAGTTGTCTTCAAGTAGTCTCCTAAATCCATACTTTAAACAAGAGGTTTGATTTTGAAAAGAGCAGAATCATGAACATTCAGCTCTTTTCAATTAATTCCAGAGGGAGCAGCTGAAAAGCCCAGCTTTTTAAAATGCAGGCTCGTAACTTCAGTCAAACATGTCTAGTCTTGTCCCAGATGTAAACAAAGCGCACAGATTATATTTATACTGTTTTGTGCTTGCTACCTTTGACAAATATACCATGTTTCAGTGTTGGGAAGAGCTTGTTCAGAAAAGTAGATACTGCAGTTAATAATTATGATCAGTTCTTGAGCTGGATCTTCCCATGAATTCGCACAGTGAACATACCCACCACAACTTAAACCAACAGGAAGATGCTTCAGCAAGTTTACCTTAGCTTGAACACATGCTTTTTCTTTTTATAATCGACCGCTATTTCACAGACTGCTTCTTTCAAGCTGACAGGAATCTCATTGTGGTAGGGGATGCCAGAAGCAGCAGCTTTCGAATCCTTGTAGAAGCCCATCTCTTGGTTGTTTATCACACAGTACACGTTATGCCATGATCTTCAAGACATGGAAAACGACAAAAGTATTTATAAATCTAATGCTCTTACTTGCAGAACTGGAGAAACCAAACACAATTATTTCTGTAAGATAATGGAGACTAGTTCAGTCTGAGGATGCGAATACAGCATACACTGTCCTGTAAACTGCACGCAGCAAATGCTGTCATAAAAGCATGGCTTTAAGACAAAAGTACTGACATTGAGCCAAACGGAATAGAGATTTCCAGAGCTCTCTTTGATAGCACATAAGCCTATCCTAACAGTGGGAGGATTGTTTGGCAGACTAAGCAGTTTGCATACTTGGGAGAGAAACGGATTGACCTTTTAATGACTATGCTTTATTGTAGAAGGAATTCTCATGGTGCTGCAAACTAACGAATGAATTGCACGTGAAATCCTTCATGGTTACAAATACTCTTAGTGGCATCATCCACCTCATTCTCTAACAGTTATAAAAATCAATGATTACTAGAAATAAGAGTCCGTAGATGTTAGTATTGGTGGCTGTCACTGCCTCAAAGTAGTTCTCCAGTGCGAATAGCTCTAGACGAACAAAAATCATGGTAGTACTGTACTCATTTGTGATCTGCACTCAGCTCTGCTGAGTACTTCGGCTCCTACCAAATCTCCCAGATGTTGCTGTAGCTCACCTCTTGCTAGTCAACATTCTCCTTGTCAGCCAAGTCATAAACCTGGTTTCAAGAGCTCTCTTGCATCATGAAGGACTCCAGTCTGCTTTTCCAGCGCAGACAGAAATCTCAGAAGTTTTGCCTGTTTGAGAACCGCGGGATCGGGTCCTTAGGAATGGAATCAACTAAGGCACACAAAATCATCTTCACCCGCTTTTTTCTTCTGAACAGACTACAGAGTAGGTGGGAAGTGCTAATGTGCAAACAGAAAATGTCAGAAGAATATGGACATTTCTATTCTCACACCTACGTGTTTTTCTTTTCTTGTAGTAACGTACAACTTGAGAGATCTGGAATCAAATCCCACTACTGCCACAGATTCATCATATGAAGTGGGGAAGTCATGGTATCTTTATGCCTCAGTTTTCCACCTTCCAAATATGTCTAACACTGCATTTTCTACCATGTATCTTTAGATTGTAACTTCATCAAATATACTGTTCAACCATCCATACGCCGTTCCTACAACAGCAGGAGCATAAGGCTGAAAGGTCTTCAGGAACTGTGAGAAGACAACAGCAGCAGGGATGACATTTACTGTCTTAGATCTTGGTGAGTTCGGATGCAATTACCTGCATTAAGCATCGAGTGCTTTACCTGCTCGAGGCTTTCTTGCTATGTGTCTCCCATTCATGTTTGCGATGTAAGAAGCCCTCCATCTGAGCTGAAGGAATCTCCTGTGTTTTGGCTGGTAGAGTAGCAGCAGTCTGGGCCTGAATGGCGGTCTTGGCTTTGCGGTCTGCCGTTGGAGAAGGAACAGGACTAGACTCTTTCGAACTTGTTCTCTGTTCTGCAGCTCCATTGACCATTTCGTTTGTTTCTGCAGTTTCTGCCACCTAGGAACAGTGGAAAAAATGTTCAGCTAGAAGCCTCACAACACTGAGGTATCTTGCAGTTAATCTGTTTCCCTGCACAATGTGGCTGTGTATAAACTTTGCCTGAAGAATGACACAGGCCAATGAGATCTTTCTCACACTCCATGGAGACACAGAAGGCCAAGGAAATTAGAAGGTATGAATGGATTAGTACCCATTTTATAGGTGGAGAGACGGGAAAATAAGAGCAGCTAAACATCAGTGTGAATTTTACTGTGCTTTGCTCTGCTAGTCAATTCATAATTCTTTTATATATTGTTATTCCTAAAATGAGAGCATTCAATTCTGTTGCTAAGTACTCAAATGTTTGGAACAGTAACAATCACACTTTCTGCAAACCTAGAGGAACAGTACAAGTTATACACATCAGCCACCTTAAACACATTTATGGCATTACTGGGGTATTAAAAAATCTATAAAAGATATTAACTATGAGCCAGTAGAAAAATATGTCAAAATTGCCCAGGAGCATTTACAAAAATCTGTGCAATTTATTTCTTTCTGTAAAAGCTCCTTTCCCGCTTTCCCCATTCCCCTAGTGACACAACAAAATCAAAACATGCAGAAATTAGAAAGATTACACCATGCATTTCATCTCCACCATCCCAGTTAGGATATTGGATCTTAAAGACAAGGGAAATGAGGTCATGTGTCAATTTATCAAGGTCTTTTTCAGACTTCCGTTATTAGGTGGATTGGATTTTTGTTAAAGGAACTGAAAACCACCACAGTCACACAACATCACACAGCTATTTACCCCCAAACAAAGACAGAACCAAGGCCTTGCCCATCACTTGCTTTGTTGATCGCGTTGCCTGTCGCACTGTGATCGAGATAGCCTAGAGAGCAGCCATGTTTCCAGCAGCTCTGACTGGTCAAGCTGTCGACGTCTTCAGGAGCCATTCATCCAAAAATCATTTAAATTGGAATCCTAATGGCTATAAGCTTTTGAAATGCAGCTTGGTCCCAGTTTTTTTTTTTTCTTGTACCATTACTTTGACATGTAGAGCCACTGGTAGCAGCTCGGGAGTTACACAACCAGTGTGTATTATTATCATTATTATTATTAGCAAGTTACTAAAGCTTAGTGCTGCTAATGCTCTAGTAGATTACAAACATTCTGGACTGTTTTTATGCAGACAAGCAGGTATTTGTGAATGGCACAATAATTAGACATTCCCACTTCTGCACATGGCCTGGACAATTCAAAAGCAGCCGAATTATTATGCAACAAACTAAATTTTGCCACCGTTTGCTAGAACTTCTTATACCTGCCAAGTACACATTATTGTACCTCACACCTTCGTACCTCATTTGTTGACCTAGGAAGATCTAAGTGTCAACCTGCTACGAATATGGGAAGGATTGGTTAACTGCCTTTAAGCAATCTAAATCTCCAGAGTTCAGACACTACACCACTGAAACAGGGAAAGAATCACAGCTCACATTCCATTTCAGTCATTTCTATTCTACTCTGTCCCTAAAGACCTGTAGCCTTACAGCTTAGTTTGTAAGAGGAAACATCTACCCTGCACCGTTATCCAGCAGAAGAAAGAAATCAATGACACTGCTTCTTCACAATTAAGACAAATCTAAGCCATCAAACCTCACTATTTGTATCCAAATCTCAAAATGTAACAAAAATGTTGCATTAAAGGGGGAAGAGGGTAAATAAATAGATGAGGCTGAAGATAACCCAAACACAGCTACTATAACACAGGTAGTGAAATAAACAACCAGTGATTCACCAATGAAAGCTCCATTAATCAATCATCACCAGCGCTGACCACCAATGGCCAACAGATCGCGTTCCAGAAAAAGGACAGCCCTTTGCCAATCTTTTTGACCAGTGATAGTTACTGAACTTCAAACTCTCTGCTCTTCTGAGATCCCTCTCTGAGATACATGAAGCCTTTGTGACCAGCAATAAGCAATTACATAGACCACAGCAACTTATCTCAACAACTTACCTAAACTACCCAGAACTACCTGTTACCTAAACCAACGCTGAAAGTAGCATGTTTTCTGTAGCAATACCGGCAAGATGTGAAAATATTGCTGATTTGGGGGTACCTGTAACCACTAGTCTGAAGTAGAACAGACCAGTTTCAAAACAGCAGCCACTGCACAGCTACTTAACGTGTTTTTATGGGAAATAACATGTAATTCAGTGCTGCAATCCGCAACCCTGTGCTTTTAAAAGATAACTGCCAACTTTAATCACACAATCAGATCTGTGACTTCTAATTAAAATGCTACTGATTGTAACAGGGCTATGAAAAGCTTTTCTGATGCTCTTTCAGGTTTTATTTCCTTTTCATGTGTTATCTACAATTAACAGAAAACAAGCAAAATAAATCTGAATCATAAACAGCTATGTGAAGAATGCGTCATGAAAATAGAGAAAAAACAGGAGCTAAACAAACTTTAATGGAAACATGCATCGGGCATGCAGAGACAACGCAACGGAGGACAAACATTAATAGCAAACTGTACTGTTACAACAAAACAGTTACCACGTACATGAAAACAGTTTTCTTAATGGTGACTGAGAGGTTAGTTGCAAGTGCTTTAGTGGCTAGAGACTACTCTTGAGATACTTAAATCAGGACTGTAACATGCAACAAGACAGCTGGTGACAATGACTGGAGACATCCCTCTGATTTTCATAGTGCTTGGAGCAACATTATATTCAGTTCATCAACTTAAGTCTCTGCACCACAGCTTAAATAATAGCGACGTATCTGCCTTTTTCAGATGCAAATAGATGACAGCCTACATATTGTTCTGGCATAAGTACCGCTTTAATGTTTTAAGCCAGTACTGTAGGCTGTAACAAATAGGTGAAATCTTACACTTCTAGTGCCTAAAATGATGACCTTTTTTGATGACTTAATTCATTTTTCTTCATCATAAAAGTGTAATTTTTATATATAAGTGTACTAATACAAGTAAAAAAGTGTATCTATATAAATTACTTTTACATGCTACTTTTTAGCCAGAATACATCTGAAGGCTTCCCAGATGGTGGAGTCTGAAGCTACAGCTATACTGCTCTGAGAACTGTCATACTCTTACAGGCACAGAGAGCTAACACTGGTGTAGGTAGTCACCAGATCATCTGCAAAAATTTATATGGGATTTTTAAAAGCATTAAGAAGCTATATGTTGTTATCCTGACAAAAGAAAAAAAAAAACATGCATCATGAAGTGGAAAGACAAGTTACAGCAAAAGTACAATTACTGAAGCACATCCTTTCAATCATCTTTCTCACTTTACGAGCTCAGCCAATACAGAACAACTCAGCTGCACTGCTCAGCTAGTCGTCAGAAGTCTAAACTCGGATCAACAGCAGCACATTTCGCTCCTCAAATCAGAAATACAGCTGTGTACATCTGACGTATTGCAACACAAGATTCAGTGAACTGAGCTAAAAAGCTCTCATGAAAAGACTGAAGTGCAGATGGCGAAGATTAACATGGAAATGCATTATGTATCATAAAATAAAAAAAGAAGCAAACAGGTGATGTATAAGGCTGTGATAACCAACATGATGATGATGATCTGGGATGTGCTTGCAGGCCACCTCACGTTCCTTGCCACAACTATATATAATTTCACAAACATTAGAATGTACAACAGACAGCTCACTTCATCATTTAGTATTACAGATGAACCAAAAGGCTTTATTTAAAGAAAGAAAAAGGTAGAACTGCTTAGTATCCTAGAGCATTGACAGAGTCTGTGTGCAAACCCAAAAGTAACTGGGATGGGCTACTTGAAACATAAAGTTATGCTGAAAGGCATTTCCTCCCACAGCCCTAGACTGGGACTGGCATTTCCCTTGCAGTATTGGTAAGAGCTCTAATATCCACTGATCTCAGCCTGCCAGGAGCCTTTCCTGCACTTAATATGACCTCAGAGAGTGAGGTTCAAAAATATAAGAAAGAGAAGTGTCATTTTTCTCACCACTCAAAGCAGTAATTGAAGCAAGTAGGCTGTACAGGAAGGTAATGGAGAGATAAGCCAGTTTTCAACTACTGTGTTGCTTTAACTATATATACATATTTACTGGTATTTTTATGGCTGCACATTAAGATTATTGGCATGCATCCTGACTCCACTGGAACATCCCCTATCAAGAAGGAATGAATAAGGCATGGACCATTCAACCCACATCTATGTAAAATAAAGAGCTGGGATCTTAGACCAATGTATGTGACTTAGTTTTTAAAGAAAAGCATCACAACATCTCCATAAGGGTCTGCACCCTACTCTCATTTATACTACTCTCCAGTGTCAGTAAATGGAATTGCTGTAGTGTAAATTGGACAAGACCAAGGCAAAAAGGGGCCCCAAAACAGCTATTCAGCAAGATCACAACTCTTCATGAGGACTAAATATCAAGATAAATCTAGATACTAATTTTTAATATTTTATTTCATGTTTATTTTTATCTGCTGTCAATGAGTCCATTCTGCATGGAATGTTATACAACTAACCTTAAGGCTTTTATTTGCCGATAGTTACAACTCTCCCCTCCCTCCCAGCCTTTACTGCCGAGCTCACTTGCATGTATTATCTTTGGCCTTGTAAATAACTCGCTTGCTAATGCAGCTGATTTAATAATGTTGCGTGCTGAAACCTGTTAGTATAACTCGATGCGTCATACCTGTCAGATTCTAGTTCTCTTCTTCATTATGATGTAATCTCATTAAATCTCAATTACTCATATAAAGGACGATTTAGCTGGAAAATCTTAATACTATTAGCGACATGAAAAACTCACAGTAAATAACATGAAATCAATGTGTCACCTTAAAGCAACTGAGTGTCAGTGGGGAGATTCAAATAAACAAGGATTAAAGTGAAGCAAATATATCTCCAAGGGGCTGCTAATTAAATAAAAGTCAACTGATGGGAAGGAAGAGAAAAGCAGCAGGGAAATCTGAAGCCAAAAGATTAAACCAGTACCAGTAAACCA